TTAAATTTACACATTTCCTAACTTTTGAAAACGTGACCATGCAATTATAATACTTATTAAAATGTACTTACTCCTCCGACCATTCCCAAGTCAAGGGTCGTATATACTGACCCAATAGCATATCTTGAAAACTAGAGCCAATCAACAATTTTAAGCATCATTTTCGTTCTCAGTGACCCAGAATTAGTAAAGTTTGACTACATTTATTTCAGAAGCATTTTGGCTGTAGAGCAGTGTAATGATTCCAAACTATGTGGGTACGAACCACCTGATAGTTCTGCGTCCTCCAGCCCCACAAGTTTCTCCTACATTTAATCTCTAGGGACTCAGACCTGTGGTCCTTAGGCAAAATTTCCATTCTGCTCTGTGTTAATTTAGTGGGAGTTTTGCCAAAGAAAAGACTGCAGAACTGAATCCTAGGGGGGTTAATAATGGGGATTCCTCTTGTCAGGCGATAATTGAGTGCTGTGTTTAATTCAGATGTAAAACAATATTGCTTCAGGGTTGCCTATTCCTCTTAACCAAAATTAAGTATGTACAAGGTTTAGAATGCCAAAGACCGAAGCTGACTACTAATTCATTCTGAAATAATTCTCTGCAATAGTTTATACGCTGCATTTGGAGGCCATAGCTTATCAGCATGTTTTGTAACATGACGATAAATAATTATTTCGCTATATATTTTATTTGTAAATCCTCCAAACAAGGGCAGAATTGCTTGAGCTATAACTGAATGAGTGTTCTGTTCTGCTCAAAGTGAGATCTTATTGACTAGAGATATCTGATATACATCCTTGACGCCAAGCCCTCTGTCTGTGAGATCCTCCCAGTATGCTGTATTAAGCATGGATTATCTTCACCAAAAGAATGGTATTAATCATTCAGATTTATAATGATAAAATACGGAATGCATGAAGATAGATCTGCTGCTTAGAATCCATTTTTTCTCTGGATGCCAGAAAGAAGATTAAAAATAATAGAGCAGATATGTCTGTGTAATGCTGTCTTTGGCAGAAACTGTTATGGCAGACATTGAAAGCAATCACAGAACATAATTTATCATTTTATTTCAATGTGTTCTCCGTTGTTGTTGTTGTTATAATTCAACATTAGGGGCCGGACCCAAAGTTAATGGGACTTTGACAGATTTTGAAGCACAATGGTTTAATTTTCAGAGGTGGTGAACACCCACAGTTTTAATTGAAGTCAATAGGAGTCTCCAAAAATTAAATTCTAAGGTTGTTTTTTTTCCTTGTTATTTTCAGCACTGGGTAATTCTTCGTATTAGTTAACGTGTTCAGTTGCATATGGCTGACTATAGGACCCGTGGAAGTCTTACAATTTATTAACACATAAAAAAGTGGAAGTGTGAGATGTTTGTCAATCAGCAAAATATTGCAAAACAAAAAATGCAACACAAAGATACCTACTGTAGATGCCTCAGGGGAAAGATAATGGGATATGGATCCAAGAGGCCTCTAGATCACTAGCAGAGCTGGTTCCAATACAGTGGAAAAATGTTTTTTCATGCTGTTTGAATTTTGAAATTTGAGATTTTGACAATATTCATAAAAATGTTGACCAGCCCTATAGTTGGTGGGGAAACGTGTGTGTGAGGGCGGAGATCATGGCAATTTTTAAAAAAAATTTCTCTTCCCTCCCCTCACCCTAGTTTCAAAATTTTGAAATATTCCAATCAGTTGTTGTCACTGGCCTGAATTCAGCCCCACTCTGCAGGACTGTGAGGCATCAATATCTAACAAGCTCAGTGGCATGTCTGTGATGAGTTGGTGACCTAAGACCACTTCCCAGTAGACAGGTGTCTCCATTATATGTGGCACCAACTGCTGGCAGTCTCGTGGGGGGTCAAGGACTGAATAGGCACAGCGTCTGAACTGTCCTGTGCCCTTGGCACAGTTCCTCCCCATTATCACTGAAATACACAAATGGCGTGGCATTCACAGCTTGTCTTGTGGCTGGGGCTGCTGGTCTTTAGCTATTCTGCCGTTAACCAGTCTTTATTTTTCCAGGCTCCCATCTTCCACACTAAATTTTCAAATAAAGAACAAAATCTATAATCGTCAGGAACAGAACAGTTGTGAAATGTTAGAAACCACGTTCCACTTTGGTACGTATGAGTGGCAGCGATGAAAGATTCTGATTAAGTCCACCATTAGCTGATCTCATTAAGAATTTGATTTAATTGCCTAACTACTGCACTCTAAATGTTAACTTCGCCTCCCCTTTCTTTTCATAGTACAAACCAGCATAAGCACTGAGATGTCTCTGTTATATCAGTCTCCCTCAGTTAATTAATTTCCTGCGAGTGCCTTAAAACACAGAACCCCCATAACTCCAGCTGCTTTTTATTAATGTTTGAAATATCCACATACAGGATAAATATCCAACACCCAAATGACCTGCTCAAACCAACCATCTCTCAGACTGAGACAGTCCTATCCTCAGTGTTCTGTATGCTGGCTTCCCATAGACTATTGAGTAAAGTTCAAGGTCTCTGTACTATTTTTAAGGTGCTCAAGGGCCCGGGCCCAGGACACCTAAAAGATGACCGAAAGCTCCAGGATGAAGACAGTGGTTGATAACTCTGTTTCTCTGGCACAGTGGAACTCTCTATAATAAGGGTAAAGCTCATCTGGGCAGGAGACAGAGCTTTCTTGGGGGCTGGTCTGAACCTGTGGAACAAATGTCCCCAGGATGTAAGGACCATCACAAACTTCACCACCTTTTCTGCTCTAAGGGTATGTCTATACTTAGGGTCATGCGCAAAGGGGGGCAAGCAGGGGCACGGCACCCCCAATAATTGGCGGAGGCACAGAAGTCCTCCAGCCCGGGGCTGTGGGGGGAGCACTCACATTTTTAGTCCTATCCCTGTCTATACTGCAATAATGGAGTGTGATTGCAACTTCTGTAGACCTACTCATGTAAACTTTAATCTAGCTAGTTCAAGTACCAGAACAGTAAAGTTGCAGCCACGTGTGCTTCAGAGTGAGCTGAATAAGCCTCCTCAGAACACTGGGTAATTACCCATGGGGTTAGCTTGCACTGAGATTCAGACAGCTGCAGCTCCACTGCTCCGGTACCCAAGAGAGCTAGATGAAGATGAGTTTGAGTATGTTTCCACAAGCTGCAACCACACCTTGTGATTGCACAATGGACATACCCTAAGTACAAGGTGCACTTCTTCAGCCTGACTTCTCTAACAGAAACACGCACAGCAGTGTGCACATTTAACACACCCCACACAACCAAAACAAAACAATCCACTACACACACCATTCTCCTCTTGGGTGGAAGAAGAGAGAGAACAAGGGACGTGACAGATGTGAGCCACGTGACTTAATGCACCACTGCAAGACGCTCAGCTCCTACGGTAACGAGGACAATATGAGAATCTATATAGAAGAAAGAAAATATAAACCACCCAACAAAATCTTATTCCATCATCCACTCACCACAATCCCCACAACCAAAACCAGGTGAGCATTTTAGGGTGTTCTAAAGATGAGGAAATGTGGCCTTAGCTGGGACAGCTTTGAACGAAGTGAGTCTGTTCCAGACTCAGCAGACACTCAAGTTAGTGTCCAAACCAACCCGCTCCCCAGAGTTTGGCTTTATTGGTATCTCAAAAATAGCACACCTTAAATCTTAGCCTAAGTTTGCCCCCTAGGTGTCCTACTGCAGGGTCTGACAGATCTAACAGCTTCCCTGCTCGTGACCTTGGTTGCCGTTTAGTTCAAATTTTACTTTGGAATAGGTTTTCCCTCAGTCTCTCCAGGCAGATTGCTCCAGATGCATAGCCATTGTCTAGCATACGCAAGGACTTACTGGTAATGTTGCTGTGACTAAGTGCTTAATGTCACGCTCCCTGAGGTGGTTCATGACCAGGAGTGCCGAACCTCAGGGCAGACTGTCAAGAAGTAGGGCAGACACCCCAAACTGGTTGTGGGTTCTATTATTAGATTTCACCAACCCGGTAATAAATGTGAACTCCTGAAGCACAATATCAGTCTTACCTTGGAGTCACAGACAGTCCCCTTGGGCATTCCACTCTATTTTGCCACCCAGGCAAGCGGGACTTTGTGATAGTTGCTTGCCATACACCAACGATCACAAAAGATTCAGGTTGCTTCCAGTCCCGAGAGACCAGTCACTTACCCCAGGTCAATTTGTAGATCACTCACCAAAGACAACGCTTGTAGCCAATCCTGAAATAAACAAACTAAGGATTTGTTAGCTACGAAAAAGAAATGAGAGAGTTATTTACTCATTAAAGCAGGCAAGTATATAAACGCCAATGAGTTATGGTTCCAAAAGGTGACAGGTTTGTAGTAATCTGTCAGCACTGAGTGTCTTGTAGGGCTACCCCTGGGGATCTCTGCTTTTATTTCATAGCTCCAGTCCTGTCAGAGTCCAAACAGTAAAAAAGATGAAAAATATTCATGTTCACTATCTTTATTTCCTTCTTCCAGAAATCAAGCTGCTGGGACGAACTCTTTTGCACATGTCCTGTGCAGGGGCAATTAGCAAAGTCTTTGTATCATGATGTCCCACAATGGCCCATTTAGTTTTGGCAGTCCTTCCTGATGGGCAAGAGATGATCCGTTCTGACAGGTTGACAGTTTCAGGGCAAACATTTTGTACAATTATACAGCAAAAGCTTAAATATTACATTATAGCCCGTGATAGAGATACTATAAGTGAGATTAATGCATGCAGCAATCTACTAGCATTTCATAAGTCTAAACACATTGTTATAAGTTCAATACCATCTTAACCATACTCACACAAAGGTGACACAGGCTGGTTTCCCGCAGTGAGTTCTTGGCTGAGTCCTAAAGCCTTGGCAACAGCTGGCATCTGGTTTGCCAGCATCACACTCCTATGAACCAACAGGCTTCTTACAGGATCCATGGAGAGTGCACTTGAATTTCATATTTATTCTCAGCATTTTGTTTGGTTGTTTCATGAGTTCTTGGTTCAGGGCAGAAGATGCTGGCTTGTCTTCCTTGCCATTCTCCCCCTCTCATCGCTTGGCTACCTCATTCAAAAATGAAAGGGGCACAGTTCTTTTGGAAACCTCCTTAAACACCCAGGGAGGCTTGGAATAATGGTTCACACTTATGGTTATGTGATTGTAGACTGCTCTCAAAGGGCAAAATAAGTAGCTCAGATCCTCAACTGGTGTAAATTGGCAATAGCTGCACTGGCTTCAATTATGCTTTCCTGATTTACACCAGCTGAGGAGCTGTTGCCATATGTGTACAAGGGACAACACCCGTGTTCCCACTCCTCCGCTTCTGTTGTACCCTTTCTTGTTTTCCTGGGTGTGAATTATCTGTCCTAGCCGAGGCTGACACAGCATATATAATCTCATGCTATCAAATAAAATGGATCCAGCCTTGGAGTTTGAAATCCTTGATATAAATCAAAAGATTATTTTTCTAATGGCCAGCCCTGGAAACTCACTGTGAGCTTGGAAAATAAAACTGTTCTTTCGGCCATCATCACCAGTTTTAAAGATGCTGCAATTAGAATTTAGCTGATGCTTTTGCTGATGGTGCTGAAATACTGGAACCCACGGTGGGAGGGGGGTGTACTTTTAAGAGGCTCACATTATGCAATGCAGAGACAATTGGAACTGAGACACCAAATGAAGCAGATCTCTGTCAAGCACCTTGTCTCTGAGTGATCACTGAACCACGCCCAGCCAGCTTGCCCTGCTAACAACAGTAAAAAATTATTTCTCATCAAGGTAAGCCAATGTGCTCTGAAGACACAGGTCTCATTTATGCTGATGTAAATCTATTGAAACGAATGGATTTACTCCAGTTATACACTAGTGTAAGTGATTAGAATCTATACCAAACGAACAGATATGCTGTACAAGAAGGTTCCATTTTCCCACCTTGATTGGGTGCTTGACTTTATTGTAACAAATCCATGACCACCTAGGACTGTCAGGACTGTCACTCAGCTGCATGCAATGGCACTGGGAATTTCACAGCAACAGTAGGGAAAATTCAGATCCCCTTCCCACAAAACAATTTGAGCTACTTTAGTCTTTAAGCTACTTTATGGCCCACGCATTCACTGATCCCTTCCAGCAGAGGGCAGTAGTACATATATGCAGTAGCCAGTTTATTAGCTTATATTACTGCCAACTTGTGCTTTTGCCTCATAGGTGTGCTTCTGTGTCTTATGTGGTACAAGTCACATAGTCTGAGAAAGCACAACATTTGAATTGAGCAACAGCAGAGGAAATCAGGAGGCACTGTCAAAATTGGCAGATTTGCCAGCCTAAACAACTGACTGTTCCTGGAAAAGCGGCACCAGCGGTTTTTTAATGAACATCACTGTTTTCTTTTTAGTTCCTCCTCGTCTCTCGTTCTTTGACTTACATCATTTTCCAGACAGTTTCTTGGACTTCAATCATCTTCCAAGCAGTCGCCTTCTCCTGAGGTTTGAGGTCCAATCCTGTGAGGGGCTGATCATGCTCAGGTCCCAATGTCTTCAGCTCAAGGGAAGGTGCTCCGTAGCTTGCTGTGCATCCCGGGGTTCTTTAGTGGGTTGATTCAGACAAGTTTAATTCTGATGACTCGTAGTTGTCACACATACACGGTCACAAGGGAAGGTGGGCTGGTGAAGGAATCTGAACTGGTCCCAGCAACTACTGTAAATACTACCTTGCAAAACGTCCCTCCTCCTAATGTGTACATGTTGAAGCAGCATAACAAAGAGCTATTGACCGAGAGCACTTTGCTGCCACAGTGCCCCTTGGGATGCAGCAACACATTCAGCTAGACAGGCCATTTTGCATTGCACAGGAAGAGTCTAATTCGGACACGGTCCACTGCAGCACAACT